GCGAGCACAGCCTGGGCCACACTCAGACGACGGTTGGTGGATATTCAGTGTCCAATAGTGCTGAGCTATTATTCTAGAATCTAAGTTCCTGAAAACAGAGATCACTGCCTGTCATGCTCACCACTGTATCCCCAGCACCTAAGACAATGCCAGGCACAAAGTGGGCATTTGTTAAAGGAACAAAGGAACGCACAATAGGGAAAAATGTCCTAACCTCACGGTACAGTTCCAGGGATTAACTGAGATGGCTCAGGCCAGGCCCGATGTTGGTAAACCTCACCCTGACCTCCGCCACCCCCTTTCCACAGGCTTCTCTTTGTGCTCCCCACTTTGCTGATGTCCTAAGGTGCAGCTCTTTTGCCCACCCTAGCCTGAGCAACTTTCAATTTGGCCTGCAGTGGTAGGAGGGGCCTGAGCCCCTGCTTTCTGCTCCACCAGCAGCCTGTGTCCTGACACAGAAACACATAAAGGTACTTTGCAAACTATCAAGAGTGACCCAAAAGTGAGGAATTATCTTCACAGGGGACAGAAAAACTATGCTTGCTAGGTTTCCCAGAACTGATGACCAAGATTTTTAAAATCCACAATAGCAATGTTATTCAGTAATTCCATTCCTCTGTATATGAGGGCACTTTAGAAAGTTTGTGACAAAAGAGAATCTAAAGATAATACAAATCTTTCCATGAACTTTTTGAAGGTACCCTCGTAAAACCAAAAGAATTGAAAGCAGGGTCTTGAAGAAACATCCGCACACCAATGTTTATAGAAGCATTAGTCACAATAGCCGAAAGGGGGAAGCAACCCAAGTGTCCATCACTGAAAAATGGACAAGCAAAATGTGGTCCAGACGTACAATGGTCTATTATGTGGCCTTAAACAGGAAGAATGTTCTGACACATGCTATAGCATGGATGAAGCTAGTCACAGAAAGTCAAATACTGCATGATTGCCCTTACTGAGGTCCCTAGAGTAGTCAAATTCACAGAGACAGAAAGAAGAATGGCAGGTGCCAGGGCCTGGGGCCAGGGGAATAAGGACTGTGTTTCATGGGGACAGAGTTCAGTCTTACAAGATGGAAAGAGTTCTGGAGATGCATGGTGATGACGGCTGCACAACAATATGAATGTGCTGAGTGCACTCAATTTTCACAAGAGCCCTGGGTAGGGAGATTCTGGTGTCATCTTTTCACAGATGAGCACAGCATTGAGGTCATGAAGCCAGTGAGACATGGAGACACAAAGCTCAGAATGATCCCAAAGCTGGGGACAGCTGGTGAGCCGCCGGCAGAGGTGTAGGTGAGCACCTATCAGCCGGCCTGGCTGGTCCACGGGTGGCTCCTCTCCTCCTCTGGGGGAGACTGCAAGCTCCCATGTGCTCAGGCTTCTTGTCCCACCCTGCTCCCCAGGCCCAGCACAGTGTGGGGCCCACCTGAGCTTTGGGATAATGAGTCCAGGACTTAAAGTTCCTAAAGTTCTGACCCACCCCTAGACTGACAGAGCCCAGCCCGCTCTCCTGAGAGCTCGTTCCTGGACAAAGCTCAAGACGCACCCC